TCAAAAGTATAAATATTCGAATGTGTTAGTTTGCATGTAAATGCGTCCGCAAACGTCTTATTGAGAAAATACAGAGTGTTGTAATTTTCGGAAAATTTTGACTTTGTCTTTAAATTCAAAATGCCTTGAGCGAGTTTGTTCAAATTTTCAGAGTGTTTTTGATGTTCGCACGCATCTTTCTGAAAAATCCGTTTGAGTTCCATTTTTCCAGAACCGGACCTAGAGCGACTCTTATTTTTGTTGAAGAAAAAATTGGTACGCCCCTGGATTTTTTAACAAATTGAAAATATTTTTTAATTCCTTGTTTAATTTTAAACAAAAAAGGTTTCCCGAGATAGAAAATAAATATCAATGTTGTTATTCAATACACTCCACTCTGTTCAAAAAATAAGAGTCACTCTAGGTCCGGTCCTGGAAAAGTGGAAATGAAACGGATTTTTCAGAAAAATGCTTGATAACATCGCTAACACTCTCTGAAAATTTGAACAAAATCGCTCAACGCATTTTGAATCTAAAGGCAAAAAGTAAAAATTTGTTACGTTGCATGGGATTGGCTGATTTATGGTGTGGGCGGAGCTTGTGGAGGGTATCGCCGGAACATATAAAAATAGCCGTTTTCAGGCCAGAGTCAGTCAGTTATCTTCAGGCAGTGATTGAGACTTTATCTTGCCTGTCTGCCCCGTTCTCTACGCCAGAGACAATAACAGCTCTCCCCAAATTTGTTCGACAGAAGTGCTATGACATGTACCCGGCACTTAGGAGCGCGTATTAGGCTGGCAACGCTTTGCTGCGGATCACCTTGCCTTAGGGATCACTAATCACAGGTGGCCGGTAGACGAACCTCTCAGAGCGTTGTTGGTGCGAGCTACCGTCATAGGTACGAAGAAAGAAACGAACCGACCCCTCGGGCGCGAAATAAGACCTCCGGAAAAGCCCAGTTCGTCGCAAGGAAACCCGCATTAATCCTCGCAGTGGAGGTTGATGTCAAGGGGGAGTACTCCGCATTAGCTTACCACCAATCCCCGACAAAGTCCTTTTCAGGGCAATTCTCTGGATGAAAAAGAAAAATTGTTTGATTTCTGGTTCTTAATTGAACCTCGCGTTTCCAATTCGGAACATTCGTGCAGCTTTCCATCTAGAAAATCTAGACTCCTCCTCCGCGTTTGTCACTTATACTTTTGGACACCTTCTTCAAAGATTTCCGACCCCTTGTGTCCGTCTTCGACGATTTTCGTGAATTTTTATGAAAACTCTCTTCTGTTCTGCAAGCTCCACGTCGAATTGGAACTCAAAAATCAAATAATCATTTTCTTCCTCCAAAGGCTCACCAAGTTGGGACAGAATTTGCAAAAAGACTAGAAAGTCTAAATTATCCAAGCTTGACTTTTTCTTGAGGCTTTTCTAGGAAAAATCTCAATTTCAATTTAACTTAAAGCCATATTAGCTTCGGCGAGCTGGGACAGAGTTTTATAAGAAGACAAAAGTCGAAACTACCCCTAGCTTGAATTTTTCTTGAAATTTTTTTACGGAAAAATCTCAATTTCAAAACCAAGACAAAGGCTAGATTTGCCGCCGAGTTATAACAGAGTTTTTTGAGAAGACAAAAGTCGAAACTACCTCTAGCTTGAATTTTATGGAGGGTTTTTAGGAAAAACCTCTTTTTCACTACAGTACAGAGGAGATTTTGATAAAAATACACGAACCTTCAAAGGTTAGACTGGTTTTCGGACCTGGTGCACCGTTTCTGTTCCCCCGTGTTTTTATTTGTCATTTAACTTCTCGAAGCTGCTCGACGGTTTCCTCAGAGTGCCATCTGAGTTCAACGCACTGTCGTTGCAACTAAAAGTTTCTAGACACCATGTTAATACAACTTTGGCCCCTCGGACTTCAAAAAACCGAGTTGGAGCCCTGCTCACATATCATACAAAACACGTCAATTCTCACTTCCTTTTTTTTCTGGAGGCTGCTGGTTCGCAAGCTCATTCCTTAAAGAACCAGCGGAACCTCTCAGTATAACTGAAAAGTTGTACAAACACCGGTGGGAAACAAAAAGGGTTGTTGTTTCATCCCAAAAACAACTGGCATCCCAAACCGACTTCAGACAATCGACAAAAATGACGGACAGATACAGTCCAGACCTATACGGCACCACTCTAGATGAGTTGGACATGATTCTAAGTCAAGGCCCTATTCCTGAGGTCGTATAAGAATCTGATTTTAACGAGCCTGAAGTCCCGCTCGCCGCAACAAGCCTAAATCCGCCCAACGCAGCGGAGCTTGATTTTCTACGTTCACTTTTTGCTGAACTCGAACAGCTGTATGCAACATCCTCTTTTAACTTAAAAACGCTTTTCAAAACTGGTACCTTCAAAAATGTTGCATACAGCTGGTAGACTTTAGAAAGCAAAAAGAAGTCGAAGCTAGGCAAAGCTTATTGCCGACAAATTTTCCAAAAATTTCAATACCGTATTTCCTAAACGAGATGTTTGCAGACACATGTACATGCAAACTAACACATTCGAATATTTATACTTTTGAATGTGACACTTGCAAAGCAAAATTTAAACGAAAAAACGATTTACAGATACACAAACTGACACATTCGAATATTTATTCTTTTGAATGTGACACTTGCAAAGCAAAATTTAAACGAAACAGCGATTTGAAGACTCACAAACTAACACATTCGGATATTTACTCTTTTGAATGTGACACTCTATATATTATAACAAAATACGCACTTATTTCGGACTCACCCTGTATTGCTGCCTACAAAATTTTATCTACAACTGGCGAAGTTATTATCTTTAATCAAAATTATACTCTATTATTGTGATTATAACCATTTTTGTTACTGATAAACCAAAAATTTGATACATTACCTACTTTATTCACAATAGTTTATGATTTATGAAACAATTCCTATATGTAGCTGAATGAGTTAAAAGTTACAATCATACCTATTTATGTACAGTGTTAAAGTGGCAAAACTACAAATCAAATTTGTCTGCTTAATTAAAAAGCTTAATCACCAAAAATCTGATTCCCATCATTGATTATTGAGAAAGTTTCAATTTCAATAATTTCCGTCCGTGAATCAAGTCTGATTGCTCTAGAAGCACTCTAATGAATTGGCCACATTTAATCCAATTTGAATAGCATTCATATTTTAATTGCGATTCCGGCTCATAATAATTTATTAATTGAATCAATACGAGCTTAAACCAGCAGACAATTTTAAATTTTGTATATTTGTATGTATTTTCTATATTAAAGCGAAAAAATAAAAATGTATAAGCTGAGCTAAATAAGCAATAATAATGTACCTACTTACTGATGGCAACTTATTCAAAAGAAAACAAAATGTGTAAAAGAAAGTTTAGTTTAAAACTCGGTATCGTTGTCTTGGTGTAAGAAAGTTTTGAATTTTTATTTGAAAACTTGTTTTGTAATTTTAACCAGTATAAAGTGCGGAGTTTTTAAGTAAGTAATTTTGTCAATGGCTTTATTTTTAAATAAATTTTTATTCATAAAAATAATAAAGTAATGTTATATTATTAATATACAAAATAAAAATGTTACTAGCGTTACTATGCCTATAGTTATAGAACCTTCACAACTACATTATAAAAGCCTAAAATCAGCATAATATTATAAGCTCACGAAACACGTCTATAGCCCATTTTTTTTTTTCAAAGCCAGTTAGTTTTATATATGGCACCCATCTAGCCATGCTAAAGACAGAAAAAATTAATAATAGTCACATACATCGTCAAGTAGTATGCGTGGATCGTAGTGTAACGCATTCGGACGATAAAACCTGGAAGGCATCTTTTCAGTTTCCTCCCAAATATTTTCCATTCTTTGCACGTTGCCTACGTTGCAAATATAGTCCATGTGTTCCTGTATGTACAAAATTTGTGTGAAGGCGAAGAAAGACCAGAATTGTTAATTTGATTGGGGACAATTTAATTTTACCAGTTCCATAATTCTATATTTATCTGGTCTAACTTCTACCAGAGGTGCTTGAAATAAATCAAAAAGCTTTTTTTTGGGGGTGTGTAAGCGTGTAGTAAAAAACATTATAATGGTTTTTAAATGGAAACATGTCGATTTTTAACAATGTGTTTCTAATATTGTGCTTTTGGAAATAGATAATAAATCGCTGGGACATTTCTCTGATTGGGACAATTTCCTTTTAAAATCCTTCTTGTGTTCATTGAGTTTAATAATACATTGAATTAGTATTTGAAAACTGAATTATTACAAAATGGATAAACAAGATTTTGATGTTTTAGTTTTTATGTGTTGATTTTTTTTTTCTCAAACTTCTATTTTATAAATTGTGAATCATACCTACATCAATTATGAAGGGTTGTAATTTTTTATTGATGTTGCCACAATTCAAATTACTCCGCTTTCACTGTCATTCACATTAAAGTTAAAGAGCCTTTTTTGAGCCTCAATATTTCACTCGATAAGGCAAAGGTATTATATAGTTAGAAAAGAATAATTGGATTTGTAGGGGGGAGATAATAATTGTGAATAACTGTTATCAACCCCCAATTAAGGCTTTTTTCAGCCGATATATTCATAGAAAAATCTTGCCTATCCTTTTCATATAAATATTTCATCTTTTGTGATACTAATTTAATACACCATATGTGATTGAAAATGTGCTAAAAACTGCAACAAATCGATACTTTTTGTTTGTGTAGAAAAATTACCTCTAAAACCGTATTTAAAAAGAGGCGCAGTAGTTTTCATTCTGGACGTTTCGCCAATGAATGAAAAGCTTTTTTTTCCGGATATAAAAGAGAGAAAATGTTCAAAGGCTTTTTGTTTCAGAAATAGCCTTTGACAGCGGACAAAACGTAATAAAAACTTAAACGCCAATTTCAATAGCAAAACTAACAAAGGCACCCCCGGACTCGGTCATACTGTTTTTCTATTTAAAAACTGTTTCTATGTAAAGGGCTGTAAAATCATTATGTGCTCACCTGTAAAAGTTCCTTGATGGTACTGTCGACGATCATTAAGGGTTTGTGGATCAGATGGATGACGCCATTTTTAACTGGAATGTTTGCTTTTACAATTTCAGCCAGGACCACTCCTTGAGGGTGCTTTCCATCGCCGAAAAGAGTGTGAGATTTTACATAGTCTGAAATTGATTCAAATAGTATATTAAAGAGTAAACATGATACTTATTGAAGCTATTAAAGGTACTTATACATATAAATCAATTTGAGACTTAGGTGATTTTAACTAACTGACAAAAAAGTTTTTCTCAAGATTCCTGGTAAATTCAGTTTTAATAATATTATTTATTAATAGCTTGAAACTAACGTGTATAATATTAAGAGTTATTGTACAATATTATTATAGCGCAATAGTCTCTTTCACATATGTGAAACAGCAATTTTTGAATGAGTTTAGATTTTCACAGTTCTTCACGTTATTGCTGAGGTCTTCGCATCTCACTTCCAATCAGCATATACCAACGTACGTATTTTGGATTTGAGTCCGATAGATCCAGTGGGATTTGCTGGTGTTCTCTCTACCCACAATTTCACTACTGAAAAACTGAAGAAGCTCGACACGTCAAAGAAACAAGCTGTCATGTTGAAAAATTATATAACTTATCTTGCTTCACGACTTCGTCAACTTTCCCAATGTTCATTGGACGGCGGCTTTTTTTCAGGAGCTTGGAAACTTTCCTTTCTATTGCCAATTTTCAAGTCAGGGGACAAGTGTGACAAGGAGAACTATCGTGGTATTTCCATTCTATCTGCTATTCCTAAACTCCTCGAATCTATTCTAACTGATGAGATATTCACTATCAGATATTCACGACTTACAACAGATACATTAACTCTGTCCAGCATGGCTTTTACCGAGGACGTTCTATCACAACCAACCTTGCAGTCTACCAGTTGAACAGAGACATCAAGGTGATTCTATTTATACCGACTTATCCAAGGCCTTTGATAGCGTCCACCATCAGCTCCTCCTCAAGGAATTATCAGAAATTTGGATAATTGGGAACTATCTCAGCTGGATCCAATCTTACTTTGATGATCGCCGACAGCGAGTTGATGTCGGTGGTACACTATCCAGTGAAGTAATGGTTACCTCTGGTGTCCCTCAAGGATCTCACCTGGGACCTGTACTGTTTCTTCTCTGTATCAATGACGTAACGTCCTGCTTCTCCTCTTCTCATATCTTGTTGTACGCTGATGATCTGAAATTTTACAATCAGGTATCTGTAGACCACAACGGATTGCAGGATGACCTTGACAAGTTTTTATCTTGGTGTTCCTTCAATCACCTAAAGATCAATGTTCCTAAATGCAAATCAGTTTCTATACGTGTGAAAATCAAATTTTTCGTAACTACACCATAAACAATCAACTCTTCAACGCAGTCGGCTCATTCAATGATTTGGGAGTGGTTTTCCAGACACACCTCAGTTTCAATTTGCATATTGAAAACGTTGCAATTAAGGGCCTTAGAATGCTGGGCTTTATAAAGAGGAATTCCAAATATATAACGGATACCAAAGCAGTATTCTGTCTGTATTACTCACTTGTCCGTAGTACACTAGAATACTGCTCAACTATTTGGATCCTTAAGTACACTATCCACAAAAGCAGACTAGAATGGGGTTCAAAATAAGTTCACAAAGTACCTTCTATATAAACACCATTTTCCTTCAGACGGACCAACCTATGAAACTAGGCTGATGCTTTGTGGACTAAAAAGTCTTGAACACCGAAGAAGCTATGTTAACCTTACTTCACAAGCTGTGCAATGGAATGATCGACTGTGACACCTTGCTAGGCTCACTACACTTAAAAGTTTCCTTAAGACGCACCAGGCAACATAAACTGTTTTATGAAGGCCAATATCGTACCAACTATGGCCAAACAGCTTTCATCGACAGATTGGTGGTTAACTACAACCGTTTCTACTGCGACTCTGATATTTTTAACTACTTCCTGCCACAAATTAGGAATATGATAATGTTTATGTAATTTTAACTGTGACTCCTATTCATTTTTCGTTTTATATACCTTTGTCTATCTGTTTTTATGAAAATTTTTTTGCGGCTTGACTTTAACTGAAATTACTTCTGTACCTGTGTTATCTGTATATCTATGTTTTTAGTTTTTTGCAGTATTTTATTTTGTTTTTTCAATTTTGATTACTTTTAGGAACTTCCATCTAGAATATGATACTTATTCTGTATTGTACGCTTAAGATAAATAACACCAAGATATTTAAACTCCTTTACTTGCTCGTTCCATTTACCATCACTCCCGGATGTTGTGTCACATCTATTGAGTTTGTCAGTAGATGTGAAACACGGGTTCTAGCACAAAATCAGTCATTTTCCCATGTAAATCTTCATAAGAAAATCTAAGGTCCGTTCTGGCAATTTTTGTACCATTTTGGAGTGGATGTAAAATTTCCAGGAATGAGCCCCGCCCCCTTTCCAGTGCTCGTGTCTTTCATTGGTCGCACTAGCTGGTCAACCACGGCTGCTTCAAGTACCTGGCTCCAAGCGGCTCATCTAACACACATAGCACCTCGTGAGCTAGACATGTCTGTATACAGCTAGACAGGTCTATGCTTCAACTCTGTCGAAATGGCGGCTTGTCAAAGTTAGGAAAAATCAATGGAAAAATGCTGTGTGGTTTTTACCTGTTACCTACGCATAGGTGGGACAGGTAAAAACAATACAGTTTAGATTATCGAAAAAAGCATTTATCCTAACTTTGACATGCCGCCATTTCGGCAGGGTAAATAGTAGCAACTTCAAATTCGGGGATATAGTCTTAATAAAAATGATATATCACTCGACCCCTTTTTCCATTTAAAATTTTTGGGGAACCTGTTGACCCCACTTAGGGGTTGACAGGTAGGGGGTGAAAATACCAATAAAATGTGTCTAAAAAACAAAAATTGACGTGTCTGAGCGATTTTTGATTAAACACCTAATACCTGAGAAACTCTGAGTGGGAAGTTTTTCGTGCCCCACCCTGTATACAACAAACAAATTTTATCCCATCACTGTTCCCTGAGGCACACCGCAGAAAGTATCTCTCGAAGAAGACTCACTCTCTCCAAATCTTGACTTCTTCCAGACAAATAACTATCTATCCACTAAACCGCTTTATTTTGAATACCATCCTTTTCATTTCATCATATAGTTCATTTCTTGTTCCAAAAAATATGATGCCGATTTGATATTCTCCTCACTTCTAGAACCATCCCGTTTGAATCTAGGGTCAAGCAATGTTTCCATTTGAGCTGTTCTTTTCTCGTATGGAAGCAAACGCTTTTGTACAGAATTCAGCAATTTTAGACAAATTTCTTTTCCTAAATCGGTTTGCAATATTCTTTGGATTCCTTGAATAATTGGGATAACAAGCGAAATTGTTACATATTTAGTGCCCGAAACTTTTGTTGTCGCCTCGTCGAAACATGCCAGTTTGATTATTAACAGCTGTCTATCAATTGACTCAAATGCTCTTCGAAAGTCGAGAAATAATGCCCCTATTACCAAATTGTCCCTCAATGAATCCTTCCATTTTGCTAACACTGTCTGTAGTGCACTGCCTGCAAACACGTCAAAATTTTGTTATTCTCTACATAATTTACAAGTTGACTTGTTGGTGACTATCAAATTGATAATCTTTCCCCCTTGTCTTGTCAATTTATTACCTTGTTGGTAAGCTCCTAGGGTTATCATGTTTTCCAATCCTCTTGAATAATAATCATTGCCATATTTATATTGAAGTCTCCAATAAGAATAAAATACCCTTGCTTGGACAGAACTTCATCCATATATTCTTGAAATATTGCATGACTAGCATTGGGGGAATGATACAAACATAAGACATTATATTTGAAATTATCTATTATGGCCTCTATTACCACATATTTGTTTTGTTTTAATTTCATCTTTTTTATAGATCATACTGCCGCCTGTATGCCTACTTTTAAAATGAGCACTGAAGTATTTATATCCTTATATATTCTTGAATGTCTTTTGTTACATGACTTTCTGATAAGTAGACAACTACCGGTTTTCATTGATTGATCAGCCAGTTTAACTTTATTTTATGTGCAAAAAGACTTAGTATATTTAGATACATTATTTGAGATGTTGCTCGTTGCCAGATGTAATTTTCGTTATTTAAATCTGGATAATTGTGTTTCTTCTGTAATTGGGTATAAATTCTTTTGTATTATATGCTGCATGGTTCTAGTTAACACTTTCTACTCCTCTGATTTGGGCTGCATTTTCACAATTAACACATTCTTTTACTAGTGCATTGCACTCATTACTTTTGTGTTCTCCTATGCAGTTTGAACAAACTTATTTTTCACTTTTGCACTCTTGTCCCATATGTCTTCCAGCATTTTTAGCACTGTATTATAGTAACATGGTTCACAAAATAGTCACTTTGCCATCCTATATTAACTGTGTCTCTTAATTTTATTTGTTTATAGTATGTTGTATGATGATCCAATTCTAAAACACCGTTTGTTCTAGGGATTTTTCCATCTTTCTTCGTCTCATATTTATATATCTGTTTATTTATTCGCGTATTGTCTTCGGTTGTTATTCTATTTTGTCTTGTAATATTTTCTATCAATACTTCTTCATCTTCTGATATTTCTTTGTTTACGTTGAAAATCTTGATTCTTGGATTTTTCAATTCGGGTTCTATGACTATGACATTATAATTTTGTCCTACTTTTTCGTTAATATTTGTACAAACTGTTATCCTTGTAACTTATCGCGATTCCCTCATCACGAGCGTGCTTTACTGCAGATATTCCAGCCCCTAAAGTGCTAGGTTCAATTTCATTTTCTAATTGTTGCTTTGTTGTTTTGCTTGTTTGGTCTTTGGGTTTAATTAATAAAACTTTTTCTACGACAGGTGTTTTCTTCAGTATCTTACAATAACTTGTTTGGCTTTCATGATAATTTATTTCTTTAATGTAATTTTTCAACAGTGTTATTATCTCATCTTTACTATTTATTATTATTTGTGTATCATCTATTGTAATCTTTAAAAGTATATATGTATCCAAATCTCGACATGTTGGATAGAGAAACTTCATTACCCTAGAACCAGGCGCGAATCC